AAAGGAAAACTACAGACCAATATCTCTCCTGAATATAAAACCAAAAATCTTCAACAAAATCCTAGCCAATAGACTCCCAAGAGTTTATCAAAAATATAATTCATTATGACTAAGTGGGGTTCATATCAGGTATGCAAGGATGGTTCAACATTAGAAAAACAACATCACCACGTAAATAAAACAAAGGAAAAGAACTACATGGTCTTATCAATTAATGCAGAAAAGGTATCTGATAAAATTCAACACCCATTCCTGGTAAAAACTCACAGCAAACACCAAGAGATTAGCAGAAGACCCTAGCATAGGTCAGTAACTGTACAATGGGAGTGACTTTTCCCAGAGGACTTATGGCTATAGCTGGACACATTTTTGATTGTCACAACTGGGGAAGGGGTGCTACTGGCATCTAAAGGTGGAAAAGCCAGGGATGCTGTTAATCATCCTACAATTCATAGAACAGCCCCCCACAGCAAAGATTATCTAACCCAAAATGTCAATAAGCCAAAATTGAGAAACTCAAGCATAAACAGCCTTTTTCTGCCCATTGCAGGCCTGTGACCCTCTTTTTCACCTCCTGTCATATTCCTAGGAGTTCTGGTCCTAAGGCACTTGACGGCTAACCAGAAGGCTGGTGGTTTAAACCCATCAGCCACTCCTTGGAAGGAAGATTGGGCAATACACTTCCATAGTGTTAATGCCTCAGAAACCCAAGGATGGGTCACTGTAAAGTCAGATTTGAATTCATGGCATCAAGTCTCGTTTGGTTTGTCATATTCCTAAACCACGCAGGCAGGCTCCCCAGCCATATTCTTCTTTCTAGTTTACAATTCACATCAAAAAGCAAAACAAAACAAACAAAAAACTTCACAGCAAAATAAGAATAAAGGGACATTCCTCAACATAATAAAGGGTACCTATGCAAAACCAACAGCTAACATTACTCTTAATGGAGAAAGAGTGAAGCTATTCCCCTTGCAAACAGGGACCAGACAAGGATGCCCTCTATCACCACTTCTATTCAACACTGTATTGGAAGTCCTAGCCAGGGCAACAAGGCAAGAAAGCGAAGTCCAAGGCATCCAAATTGGTAAGGAAGAAGTCCAACTACCCCTATTTGCTGATAGTATGATCCTATACCTATACCTAGAAAACCCAAGAGACTCAGTAAAAAAATTTAACTAATTGAGAGATTTAGCATCATGGCAGGATATGATACCAACATCCAAAAATCAGTGTGGGATTCCTCTAAACCAGCAAAGAGACTGCTGAAAAAGAAATAAGGAAATCAATACCATTTACTATAATTATCAAAAAATAACATATTTGGGAATAAATCTTTTTTTTTAAATTGTGATTTGGGTGAAAATTTACAGAGCAAGTTCACCTTCCATACAGCAGTTCACACACACTTTGTCTCATGACATTGACTATAATTTACCCCAACGCAACAGCTCTCCTCCCACTTCCTCCTAATAGTTACCTCTTCCCTGTGTCCATCACTTCATGCGCGCCTGCCCCAAGCTGTCTCCCTGTGCATAAACAGCCCTTCTTTCCCCCATGATTGCTCTCCCCAGGGAGTGTATCTACCTCAGGTAAATGTTTACCTCATATGACTATCTTTGTTTGGCTGGAAGCCACAGGTGTGGGTTCAATTCCAGACCTTAAGAGCAGCTACGGGCCATAGTCTCACGTTCCACCAGGCTCTATCAGACCAGCAAACCTGGTCGCCAACCCCCTCTTTTACCCCAAATGATTTTGAGTTTTGTTCCACATTATTCTCCCTCTCTAGCCAGGATCTCCTCAGAGATCCCCCGAGTGGTTGACAGTGGTAGCCGGGTACCACCTAGTTCTTCTGGTCTCATAGTCATATAGGCTGTGGATCGCATGGTGCATAAGTAGCTAGAACTAATTGTTTTCACAAATCTTTGGTTTTCTTCTTTGCTCCGGACAAGGAAAGACCCATCATTGCATCTAGATGGCTGCTAGGAAGCTTTTAAGATCCCAGTTGCTACTAACCAAAGTAGGACGTGGAACAACATTTTGTGTAGTATGTTATGCTAATTGAGCTTGGCGTCCCCTGCAACTATGGTCCCGAGCCCACAGGTTTAACTACTCGGTCCCTCTGGGTAGCTGGCTGTGACCAAGAAGTGACTGCAACCTTGTCCCTTGTCAGCTCTACTATACACCTGAGAATTCTCACAGATCATACAAATACACTTATAGGACCATTGTCTGCCAATCCTATACATGGTCTTGGGTACATTCCCCACTTCATAGACATACCTAATAGTTCAGCCTGTCCTCCCATCTATCCATCCATATACCCATGTTTGCCTTTACTGACAACGCAGTATTGTCAGTGCAAAAGGGTTCATCTTTGTTGTCCGTACTTCCCATGTACCTCTCTCTCTGTCTTCCTCAATGCCACCATGCTGATCACTCACATTTGGTACACTGCCCTTCTCTTCATTGGGAATAAATCTTACCAGGTACAGAAAAGACCTGTACAAAGAAAACTACAAAAGACTACTTCAAGAAACCATAAAAGATCTACATAAAGGGAAGAACATACCATGCTCGTGGATAGGAAGATTGAGCACTGCCAAAATGTCAATTCTACCCAATGCAATCCCAATCCAGATCCCATCAACATTCTTTAAGGATACAGAAAAACCAATCACTAATTTTATATGGAAAGGAAAGAGATCTCGGATAAGCAAAGCATTACTGAAGAACAACAAAGTAGAAGGTCTCATACTCCCGAATCTTAAAACCCACTATACTGCCACAGTACTCAAAACTACCTGGTACTGGTAGTAATGACAGACACACACAGAGGAACACATATGCCAAAACCATGAAACACTAATCCCACATTGTTTTAAAAGAATATCACTGTGATCAAGACGGGTATCCCAAGAAAACAAGATTGGTTCAATTTAAGGAAATATGTTAACAATACCTTTTACAAGCTAGCAACAACGAAGCAGAAAATGTTTGAGGATATGAAACTATTAATAAGAGCTGAAAAATAGCTTAAAATCTCAATACAAATCTTTCAAATAAGATTAATTTAAAAAGACCTGAATATATGAAAACAAATACTCCTGGATGGAGCAATTTAATATAAAAATGTAATTCTTACCCAAATTAATCTATGAATTCAGTGCAATCAATGCCAAACAAAATCTCAACAGGCTACAGAATTTGACCAGACTCTAAATTTCTTCGGGAAGGGAACAAAGGCTCAAAACTAGTGAAAAAGACTTTTTTTTTTTTAAAGGACAAAACTGAGGGTCAATTTTTCTCCCCACCAGTTATAAAACATTCAAAAAATTATTTATTGACTGTCCATGTACAAGATAGAGGAGAGGGATACAAGAAAGGCATGGAGAGTGGGTAAAGTAACAAATAATTTTGAAATAATTGCCAAAAAGAAGAAAACAACTTGGTAAGACAGAAACTAACATTTAGCTATTAAAGGTGTTTACCACTGGTGAGAAGAGGTAGGTTTGAAGGGGAACTTACACATTTTAATCTGTACCAAGAAAAATGCTGTCTGAATCTTTTACAGTAAGAAGTTAATAAAAAATAATTTTACTTCTCTTTATTCCTCAGATTAAAATCTGTGCCAGAGATTATTAACAAAAATGTGGAGAAAACAAGCACAACAAATCTAATGCTAGTTAAGTTCACAGAAAAACAATGGCTTATGTGTGAAGACAATTTATAAGGATATATCCTCTAATATATTTATAGGAGTGAATAACTGGAAACCACCAAAATGTTCTGAAAATGGAATAGTTCCAAATTATGGTACAGTCATAGTACAGAATACCACAAAGCAGCTGAAATGAATAATAGTGCTATATGGGTAGACTGGCAAAGAAAGTCAACACAGTATTTTATGAAAAAAAACCATGATTCAGAGTAATAAATACAACAGGATTTCATTGGAAAGAACACTGTATATTTGTATACACATGCAAATTTTAATATGTAAATTAAACACATAAATACAAAGGTGTATCTAGAATGATATGCACTGTATTGATAATAGCTGTCCTTTTTATTGAAAGGAAGAATGAAAAGAGACTGACATTTTTAATACCCAAATTTCTAAACAGATTGGCTTCTTTTTTTTTTTTTAAACAAACAAATATTACTTTTATAATTAAAATGAAAATACCAGCAAAAATGTCAACTAATGTACCAGGGATAAATTTTGAGATACAAGAGCATCTTTCACCAAAATTGAAAATTAGCACTGAACTTTTTCTTCAATAAATGAATAAAACTTACACTTAGAGATACAACACACAGAAGAACATAGGTCCACAACTGCAAGGGCCTAGGTATTATTAATCTAGAATAGCACAGCACAAGAGGTACACAGTAACTAAAGTAGTAAAAAAGCCTCACCATTAATGGTCCTATAAGCATGGACCCAAGGCACACAGCTTTATTTCACAAAGCTGTACTTGTTTCTAAATTAAATTAGTGTCACAGATAGAATTGTGTCCCCAAAACATGTACTGAATTCCTGGCCTCTGTATCTGTGGATGTGATCTTACTTGTCAACAGAATTTTCTTTGTGATGTTAATTAACCAGATAACAATAGATATAAACCTAACCATTTCTGAGTTATAAAAAGAACAGAATAGACAAAGACATAAGTAAAGATAGACATCACATGAAGATGGTCCACAAGCCACGGAACACTAAGGAATGCCTGGGGCTACGAACAAGGAAGGCATCTATGTAGCTGAAACACTGATGTGGACTTTTAGCCAGCAAAACTGAGAGAAAATAAATTCCGATTCTTTAAAGCCACCCAACTTGTGGTATTTGTTACAGCAGCAATAGGTAACTGAGACACGTAGTCACTTATTAAATTAAAAGCATTAATAAATGGTATTTCACAAATGTTATCTCTATTTACTTTAAAAAAAAAAAAAAATCCTTTAAATAAAAAGGTCAGTGTTGAGACAAAACTCACCGAAAGGCCTTCATCATCCAAACTGGACAGTATTTTGCAAGAAAGCTCCTCACAGCACAAATTCTCTTCTGCAGTTGCCACCAAAGCAGCACAGCGAGCAAATGCTCGATATAATTCTGACCAAGTTCTAAGTAAGATCATCATCGTCGCCTAACAATAAAATAAAAAACTTTAAAAATGTGTACCTATGTATCAAACACCCAAAAGAATACACCATTAACATTTTTGAAAGTACTAATATTTTATGTGTCATAGAAAAGACTAAGGTAGGATATGACAATCTCCCCCAGTTTTAATTGTGATAATGCTGAAATAACCAGCAGTTATCAAAGAAATGAAAAGAAACTTCTCTCTTCCTTCACCATTTCCTATTCTGTAAGCCAATAAATCAATCATCAAGTTAAATAAGTCTTCTTTTAGGAAATCTTCATGGAGAAGCTTATTATCAAGGGTGAAACAATAGAATCTTTAGAAAAATGCAAATTCTTCAAAAATAAACTTGACACTGTCTTACCGTTGGAAATTTCTGTACTGAAAAAATATGATTTATTGGTATAATCAATGCACCATAGATGGCACTAAAATTATGTTCTAAGGCATCACCTTGATTCACTTCATTGGTCTGAAATAGGAAAAGTAATGAAGTTAGACAAATTACCATCTAATTCAAATACTATGTGACAATGTCAAATCTTTTAGTATATACATTGTTTTTGTTATTATTTGCCATCGAGTTGGCCCCGACTCATAGCGACCCCTCCTTGGGTTTCTGAGGCAGTATCACTATGGAAGTAGGAATGCCCAACCTTCCTTCCGAGGAGTGGCTGGTGGGTTTGAACCGCCAGCCTTCTGGTTAGCAGTCAAGTGCCTTAGGAACTATGCTACCAGAGCTCCTAGTATATACCTAGAAAGTAGAATTCAAGGACTTATACAAAGGGTCTCTACTATCCTTCAAACTTTTAGGAAAGTAAACAAAGTATCTTCCAGAAAAATATATTTACTAGTGTGAAGTCTTGAGAAGCACTACTGTGCTATCCATTAATAAATTATTTCCTTTTATTTGTGAGTTATAGCAGAACCAGCCTAGAAAATATTTCCATTTAAAGATAAAGCAGCCAACAAACCATGAATAGTGATTAAATTTGTGCTCTATATCCTTCTAATACTGCCATTTTTATAAGTGTTTAAATTTGAGGGTTAGTCAACTCTCAACAGAGTTCTGATTTAGGGGAATGCTTTGGCTTTCCCAACATGCCTTGACCATGGAAATATGTAACCTAGTCAAGATTACCATTATAATGCCCCATTAGTACAACTACAGAAAGAATTCAAGACACAAATACAAAAACTTCCATGTATCATCTGTGAGTCTTCTGGTTTACAGTCACTATTAAGAAAAAGGAGCCCTGGTGGCGCAGTGGTTAATAAACTCCTGACAATTAACCAAAAAGGTCGGCAGTTCAAACCCTCCAGCTGCTCCCTGGAATAGAGATGTGGTATCTGCTTCTGTAAAGATTTACAGCCTTTCAAACCCTATGGGGTAGTTCTACTATCACACAGGGTCCCTATGAGTTGCAAATGACTTGACCACAGAGGGTTTGGGTTTATTTGGTTACCGGAGAAAAACGGAGCTAATTTGTTCCCAGTTACTTATACTTTCTTGAACGCATAAAGCAGAAATACAATGAAAAAAATAATCAACTCATCCAAAGAGTACAAAAATTTACCAATCCCACAAGAAAAATGTATTAGATATCTGCTAATCATTTAAGGAACTCTGGTGGTGTACTGGATAAAGCACTGGGCTGCTAACCAGAGGGTCAGCAGTTCAAATCCACAGAAGACAGGGCGATCTACTTTCATAAAGATTTACAGCCTTGAAAACCCAATGGGGGTGGCCATGAGTACTCCTGACATCTAAATAAATAAATAAATACATTTTGGGAGAAGTGTGCAGATTTGTACCATACCTGATTAATCATTTCAGTTAATGGGTTGACAATAATACTCCACATTCTCCAGAGATGCTCCTTGTTTTCCAATTGCTTTGCATTTTGGTTAATAACATTTAAAACAGAGTCACTGAAAGCTAATGGTGAAGTTGGACCAGAGAGAACACAACCTACAAGTGTTTCCAGATTAAGAAAGAACCTGAATGAAGAAAAAACACCACCAAACAATCCATTAACCTGAACTTTTTACAGAAAACAACAAACTTAATTTAACCTATCAAAGATAACCTGCAAGTTTATTTAAATTACAAAAACTTACCTTTCATTTGTTATACCACCTTCCAAGAGATTATTGTTGAAAATTAATTGAATTAAAAACAAAGCAGGAGTTCCCTGAAGAAAGAAGGCAGAAAATGCAGTCAATCTTGTCATTACAAATAGTAGTACACTTTTTTCTATAAGCAACTATGTACAACATACAATCTCTTTAGCGTGAGAAAAATCAACTTTGGTACTATTGAGAATATAACGATAATAAATTCATTTCCATCACATACACATAAAAATCAATCTCTTGATACTGTAATCATAGCTGTGGCACCTACATGAGAAACTGAGTAATGACTAGAGACTCCAAATATAAAGTTAAATTAAAACTTGCTAGAACCTCAATACCTACTTCTTGCAGATATTTAAGACCATTTTACATAATTAATGTTTTTAAATGACTAAAAATTTTAATCTGGTAGCATAGTGCCTAAGGCACTTGACTGCTCACCAGAAGGCTGGCGGTTCAAACCCACCAGCCACTCCTCGGAAGGAAGGTTGGGCAATCCTACTTCCGTAATGATACTGCCTCGGAAACCCAAGGAGGGGTCACTATGAGTCGGGGCCGACTTGACGGCAATCAACAACAACAAAAATTTTAATAGTAAGTAGTACGATTATGCAACTAGAGAATGTTCTCTGGAGCCTTAATTTAATCCAGGATATTTTTGTTACTCATATAGCGCTATATTTAATTTTTTTATCTATTACTTTTTTTTATCAAGCTTTTTTTCCTTTAGCATGGTCAACATATTTAAAATCCAATACTCTTTTCTTTTTTTATTTTTAAATCTAAATTTAGATTTCCCCTTATAATAAAGAGAAATTATCAGATTTTTTTCTTCTTTTGGCTGACCTAATTTTATCATTACATTTAAGATACTTGCATTAAGAATATCCATATTAGCAACCTGATATGCTGGTGAACCTAATACTTTCTGGGGAAGTCCTTTAATTGTAATTTCCATGAGGACCTATGAAAGATAAAAGTTTTAAAATAAAATTAGTCATCCATCATATAGTAAAGTCTACTATACACTTTTACAATTTATTACAAGTAATGCTCATACGTTACACCACTTGTCTGTCAGTCTGTCGCACTGTGGTGGCTTGCATGTTGCTGTGAGGCTGGAGGCTAGGCCACCGGTATATCAAATACCAGCAGGGTCACCAAGAATTGCTATGTACATATTCTTTAAAACCATTAATAACATCCTGTGAGATACTGTCCAACTGACCTTCATTTTATTATGTTAGAGTTTTTACATCAATATGTTCAGTATATGAAAAGATTACTAACTGGATGTTTATTCAAACATATACTCAATTGTCCTTCAACATATTACTATATTCAACAAACATATTTGTTACAAAAGTATTATATTCATATCAACCTGAGGTACATAACTGATGTGAACAAAATGACAAGTCAGTTATGCTTTCACATGTTCTCATTTGAAACACAAATTCTAATAATAATCGGTAGCATTTAGGAACTCCTGTATTCTGTGCTTGACTCATAATGCTTTGCATATATCAACACATTAACCAACTACAACTATCTCCCCTCTTTAGGAATGAAGTAAAGGTAGGGAATAGTTAAGGTGCCCGAGTTCACTCAGCTAATAAACATGTAGGCCAATAGTCCCACCAAGGTAAGTCTGCTCCAGAGCCCTTGCTATTACCCACTATGCTGAACTACCATATAATTAACTGTCACAGACATAGAAAAAATTTAAGGGTATTGCTTGTTCCATTTGCCAGCTTATTTTGGGAAGCTTCTGACTCTAAAAATCATCATTATCTTGGTTAAAGAGTTAACTTAAAAAGCAAAAACTATGAACAAATATTTTTAATCAACATACAACCTAACAGAGATGCTCTGCAGTCCTGTCTTAGGACATTGGACAGCTGTGTTTTTCAGTTCAAGTTTCACATTCTTTACTCCACTTTCTCTGTATGGTTTATACTTATCATGTTGAGAATTTCTGTAGTTGTTACAATTATTAAGGTATTATATGACTCTAAAGTCAACAGAATGGCATTGATTACAGGGCAAAATTGCAGACAAATACGTAATATAAAAAAAATGTCTTCCCAAGACCTGATCTTCACAAATACTTTCAATAATATTCAATTTTGGAATATGGCTTCTAAATTTTAGACATAAGTGTCATACTTACCAGTGTTTTTGATACAGGAAATACTTCCGACTTTACTATGCTTTCCAAAGATTTTAGCAAGAGAGTCAAAACTTCGGAACCTGGTCTCTCTTTTTTGTTACCTACCAATAAGCAAAAAGGGTGTGAAGTTCTATACATCTATTTTTAGAGGTGAAAATGTAAATTTTTAAAGATACGAAAAAGTATTCTTTACTAAATCAACAATAAGTGCTTATTTAAAGTAAATTAAAGTCTAGAAGACTTAGGCATTAAAAGCTATACTACAAAAATGGCTTAAATATGTTTTACATATGAAAACCAAACACTCCAAGTACTAAATAAAGAATCTGATCAGTGTAATAATGCTGTTCTATGATTTCCTTACCTGACTCAGTAACTGACTTCACCAAGGTAATCAGTTCTTTCCAAATAGCATTGATAACGGAATCTGTCAAACAAAATAACTTAAGTGTTTTTGAAATGAAGTAGATCTCACTACAAAAGCTCTCCCCTTTCCCGTCTACACCAAAGAAATAACATATAGATAGAGCAGTACTTTGCAATTTAAGAACTCTCTTTGTAACATATATTCCTGTAATTAATTTATAAAAACACTACTACCTCATTCATAGAAATTGTGGTTTTTAAAAAGGATTGCAACATGTTAACACTTGATCATGTAAATGAGGTTAATTATTCTTTTTTCCCCTTCTTTGATATTTTTTGGATTTTCTATACAGAACACCTATACTTTTGAGATGAGGTAAACAAAGTAAAGGTTTACATGGATACCTGACAACCACCAATAGGAAATTATGTAATTCATTTTCCAACCACTTAAACAGCAAATGTTAATTTTAGAAACTTATTTGCCTTATTATTTAATAGGCAGCTCTGGTAGCATAGTGCCTAAGGCATTTGACTGCTAACCAGAAGGCTGGTGGTTCAAACCCACCAGCCGCTCCTCAGAAGGAAGACTGAACAATCTACTTCTGTAGTGATACAGCCTCGGAAATCCAAGGAAGGGCCGCTGTGAGTTGGATCCGACTTGACAGCAGTGAGTTTAGTTTTTTTATTATTTAATAGGCTATAGAACACAGTTTAGCTGGAGATGCTAGAAACACAGAGCCTGGGTTTGAATCTCAGCTCTATCACTTACTATGTAACTTTGCACAGGTTATTTAACTGTACTGTTCCTAAGTTTTCTCATGTGTGAAATGGACTGAAATAAAAGGTTGCTACAAGGATTAAAGGGAGCTCAGGTGGTGTAGTATCTAAAGCATTTGACTGCTAACCAGAAGGCTGGCAGTTCAAACCCACCAGCCACTCCTCAGAAGGAAGGTTGGGCAATCTACTTCCCTAGTGATACCCAAGGAGGCGTCACTGTGAGTTAGGTTCAAATTGATGACAGTGTGTTTGGTTTGGTGTTAGTTTACAAACATTAAATGAGTATATGCAAAGCTCCTAAAGTACAATCTGGCCAACAGATGGCACTAAATAGCTATGTGTGTTTCTATGTATCTTTTATTTTCTCTTCAAACACAAGTTTAAACAAATAATAATAGAAAACTTCACTTATTTACCAGAAGCATCTTTTCCAACTGCAACAAAGCTATCATGAACAGCAGTGATAAGTGTACTTGCATGTTTGCAAAAAAAAGAAGGGCTGATGATTAATGGATGCTCAAGTGCCTCTAAAAGGGAGAGAATAAAAAATATTATGCAAAACAAAGGCTTCATGAAATGAACTTTTCAATATAAAAATTTAGACTCTATTACATGTGTTTTCTACTAAAAAAATTTATACTTATTCCATACACAATTATACAGAAGTTTGGGTGCCGGGACAATAACACCTCTCCCAACCCCAATGCAATGAATTACAGATTATTTTAATAACAAAAATAGTTTAAAAATAAAATACCTAAACTCAATGCAAGTTTGTTTTCCTTAGAAAAACTTAAGACTTCTGGACCCAACAAAAAATGAAGCAACATTTCAAGTCCCAAAAGTTGAATGGAGGGGATTGTGGCCATCCCGCCTAAATTTGAACTCAAGTTCATTCGAGGAGTTACAGGGGCTCCATAGGGGGAAGCACCTTAAAAGAAAAAAGTGATAAATTATGTAAGTTATTTTATTTATTTCAATAAAACATACCTTTAAAAATAAATTTTGTTTCTCAAGTGGAGTTTTTGGTTAAAAGCCCAAATAATTAAATTGCATGAGGCTGAGAATAAGATACCACTTAAATAAAGATAAATCTCAAATATCATACTTACAAATATTAATGTGACATTTTTATAACAAATAAAGTCTACAAGAGCCAGAATACCTAATATAAAAGTACTAATCTATTAACATACAGTAAAACATAAGAGGAAATTCCAGGTAACAAACAATTGCCTTTCAATGGTATACAGTAAGCAACATTTCTTACATCTGCTAAGACTTGTTTTTAATAACAGCTCTAAAATTCTGGATCTGAAACAAACAAAATGGTTGTTTGCTTACAATGTACCCCACATAATACAATGGGGAAAAAGTCCATCTTTTCCAATCACAACAATACCATTAAAATAGCAAACACTATCACATAAAGAAAACCAAACAAAATAGAATATATGACCAGTTTTTTGGTAAAGAGCCCCAAAATTACAAAGTGCTCCATCTCGTGTGAATAGCACTTAGCAAAACTTTACTTGAAGCCTTTATTAAAAAAAGAAAAAACAAGAAAGTCTACCTCTTACCTTTGTGTACAGGAGTCATAGGATTTACAGTTGGAGTAGTTACACGAGATGAACTGCCCTGAGGTGAAGCATTAGAATCTATGCTTATTGTACTCTGAATCAGAGGCACACAAACCTATTAAGATGAAAAAAGGGAAACTATCTGCAAAATGTAGAATTAATTGTCTTGTTTCTTAAAAGTCTCAGATACAGTTAAAATTGAAGCAGTGTAAATTCTTTCCACATGAAATTTGTTTATTGGCTATTTCCATGCATAAATGGGCTACAAACTGAAATTTTTTAAGAAATGGAAATTTTTATTACAACTGTGTACTTTCTAAGTGTGCTTTTTGTACAAATTTCAATTTAAATCCCAAAGACAATTATACACATAGAACACTACTGTAAATAATGTCTACCTGAATTCTACATGTTACTAGTAAACTCGTTTTAAAAAACATCCTAGAAAATAGTAACTAATGTAACTTAAAGCCCATTTCCAAAATCATTCCAGTACTAGTGACTGAATCAATTACTCTAACAAATGAGCTGGACAACTAGGTATGATTAACTTACTAATACCTTCTAATAGTAGAATTTTGCAAAACTCATTATAATCCCAATTACATATTAGTATCAAAACCTATTTTGATAAAGGTTATGCTATTTCAAGTTTTAATACCTTAATATGGTAAAAAATTAAGAACTTGCTAAATATGGTTCAAATAAATTATTAAGTCCCACTTTTCAAGAATTCAGTGTTATCCAGTTATGTACACAAATATAAAACAAGTGCTAAAGATCCAAGAGTAAAATCAAGAAAATAATGAAGATTTAAAAAGTAAGAAGAAGTCCTTTTTGACAGAACTGAGAAAAATTTCAGAAAACCAATGACAGGATAAATAGATAAAATCAGGAAAATCGAAAGAATTTTTTGAAATCACTTGTAACAACTAAAAAAGCTGTTACCACTACAGAGAAACAAAAAGAATACAACTTTCTATCTACCCAATGAAGCACTTCACAGATTTCTTTTTCACAAATACTAATTTTAGTCCCAATTACATTCTAAACCTTGTGGAAAAAAAAAAAAAAATCCTTATAGTCTTTCATAACGACTCTAGAATGCCAGAGTAAGAGTACATTCTTGAAGGCTTTCTTATTGAAAAGGCTTTAGGGCTCCATTTTTAGCAACTAGAGGACATCCTTTGAGGGAAATGAACTCAAGGTCTGGGTCAGGAAAATGATCTTTGGTATATTGTGAATACACAGCAAAAATAATGTTAAAAGATTTACATGGTAAGAATTTAAGAACACAATTAAAAAATTAGAAAAGTATTATTAATAGCACTTGTAATGTTACCTGTTCAAAATGAGCAGGAAGATGAGGTCCAAGTCTCATCAGTAAATACCACCAGACTTCTAGTTTTGTTAATGCTAGAGATTCTGTTCTCACGTGGATGGAACTCAATGGCTGCATTAACAACTTGAGTCTTTTTGCGCTACATAGTATATCTTAAAAAATAAATACATAAAGAACCACACAGTAAAAAGACTTGAAAACTTAGGATTAAATTTCTAAAAGGGGGTATGTGTAATGGTCTCCTTTTGCCACAGAAAGAGAATGGCTAAGAATGTTCAAAGTAATCACCAAGCTGCTCTTGCATGACCCAAAATGTTCACTTTTGACAAACTCCAGTTACAGTTGGACCAAAACCCTTAAGACAACAAAAATAAAAGGCATAGGTAGTACTCATTAGACACTGCATCAGGGGCATCTTTGCATACCAGGGAACACTTAACAATTTTTAGAAATATTTTTGGTTGCCATTATTGGGGGCTTGGGAGAAGATGCTATTAGTATCTCGAGGATAGAAGCCAGGGATACTGCTAAACTTACTATAATGCACAGGGCAGTTTTCCCATAACCAAGAATTATCCAACCTAAATATTCAATAGTGCCAAGGCTAAAAAACCATTCTAGCCACTTAAGCATTCTCCTATCTTCATTTACAAATGAATAAATGGAGGCATTTCTACATTCTGTCAAAAGGCTGTCAATTTTTTTTCATCTAATAGTAATTTCTTCTTTAAAACATCATTACAGTACAAAAAATAAAAAAATGCAACCACTGCCATGGAATCAGATCTGACTCATAGCGACCCTCCTTGGGTTTCTGAGGCAGTATCACTATGGAAGTAGATTGCCCAACCTTCCTTCCAAGGAGTGGCTGGTGGGTTTGAACCGCCAGCCTTGTGGTTAGCAGTCAACTGCCTTAGGCACTACGCCACCAAAGCTCCTTCACACAGCCCAGCTGCACTACGGTGACTGCCTATTAATTAGCTTTTGGGTATCTAAATACACATAAGACTTGGACTTAACGTTACATTAATAACAATCAGTCTGTGAAAATTAGTAACATAAATCCAATTTTTAAGTAAAAAACTTACATCAGATGTACACCATATGAGCGGGATCAGGTATATATAAAATAGGATACAGTCTATGTTCAAAGAGTATATCAAAAGATCTTGAAAAGGATTTTGAAACCATAACCAAATAATTGGAGAAATTGCTTCCATCAATGCTTCTTATCTCCACTTGGTCATTTAGCTATTTAAATGCTAATTACCTCTATTTATATAAGAAGGAAATAAATTTAGGCCACTTTGGGAATAACTTCAGTCCAAGATTCGTCCCTTTTTGAACTCTTCTGTTTAAGCGTGGGGCCCCACAACAGCATCCCCACAGCAGACTGCTAATTCCCAAGGAATATTCTATTGTCTTAGTTATAAGAATTGATTTTACTCAGGACAGTAATGTGCCCAGTTTTTAATTTCTCTTTCTAGTCTCCCATTTAAGCCATTCTAGCTAATGAGATTTAATTGGAAGTGTATGTGTGGGATTCCCCGGAGGTTCCTGATAGGGAGGCCCACTCAGCTAGAAAAAGTCTTTTCTGTTCTATGCCTTCCGTCTTTCCTACAGTCTACTAGGAAGGCATACTGAAGATGGCAGAGTTTAAGATAGGCACTCCATTCCCTGATGACAGGAATGTCTTGATTCCACCATACCAGCCATGAACCCTTCATTATTTATTAGTTATCTATTGCTGGTATAACAAAAAATACCACAAGTGGATGACTTTAAAGACAAGAAATTAAAAAATGTGTCCGGAAATCTAAATATACATTTCAAAATTGCCTATGAATTTTAAGCCAAAAATAGAGACTCAACCAGGTATAGGTATTAATTCATAGTTTAAAATTTTAACCAAATTTTATAAAGAATGTAAATATATTTCTTTACACAAAATACTATGGCTATTTGGATACATTACTGCTGTTATTGTGTGCCATCAAGTCAATTCCAATTCATAGCTACCTTATAGGAGAGCACAACTGCTTCACAGGTCTTTAAGCCATTCTTATCCTATGTTTTAACATGCAGCCATATATTAATTTCAACAAATATAGTCCCCAACATTATCTCACACTACTGGGTATAATACACCCAAATATTTGGCAATTCATAAATAGATTTAAAAAAGAGATATTTCCAATTAAAAATTGTGCCTGAAAATGTACTATTGCCAGTATTTTATATAAAAGTAATTTCCAGCTGGAAGCAACCTAAATGCCCATCAAGAGATGACTGGATAAATAAACTATGGTCCTATATATACAAAGGGATCCCGGTCAACATTAAGGAAAAATGAAGAATCTGTGAAACATTTCATAAGGTGGATGAACTTGGAGGACACTATGCTGAGTGAAATAAGTCAATTATAAAAGGACAAACACTGCATGAGTTAGCCATTATAAAAAGTTAAGGAAAAGTTTACACACAAAAAGAAACATTCTTTGATGGTTACCAAGGAGGGGAGGGGCAGAGTGGGAAAATTACTGGCTATGTAATAGCCTCCCCCACCAAAAGTAATTTATAGTTAATACAAACAATCACAAAATACATTAAAAGAGGGATGAGAATTATTAATGCTCTTTGGCGCGCGCGGGGGGTGGGGAGCGGGCGGAAAACACAAGAATGAAAATCAACATTACTTAGCATTATAGTAAATAGAATATCAATCAAACCTAAGATTAACCGCCTCGTTAAGTAGTCATAATAACCCAGCTAAATATTCTTCCTCAGGTATGCATCAAACACCTTCACTGGACAATATAGGAAGATAAGCTTAATATAAATCAAAAGGAATCATTTTCATATTAATAGCAATCTACCATTATGCATTTTGGTAAAAGTACTCGCAGGAAGAAAGGTCACCAGTCAATGATATTTTTATTCTATGGTAATCACAATTGTTTTCTATAACCTGCTGGTTGTGTAACCTTTGATAAATTGCTTAGTCTATCTGAAATAGGGATAATACTTACATCTCAAATCTATTACGATAATTAAATGAGATGTACATAAAGTGTTCAAGTCACTGCCAACATATAGTAAGTAATAAACGGTAAGTCATTTTGCCCAGTCTTAAAAATAACAAATTTTATATTTGTGATTTTCAACAATGCCTTGCTTCTGGAATTCTAACTAAAAATTTATTCTTACTCCCTTAAAATAAAAAAATTTAAGTAATCAGTTTCAATATAAAATCCACAGAAAAGCTTCATTTTTCATCTTCAATGAAAATGAATTCACAGAAAATAAAAAATTTATGAACAGAATTTACTTACCTGGATTTAAAGCAAAATTATCTATTAAACTCTTCCAAGCAATAAAAGCTATTTTTTTAATCATGGGTGCTCCGCTACGAAATCCCAGTTCTTCCAGCTGTAACAGAGAATTGATGAAACTCCCGCTTCGATGCAAGGTCTAAAAAAGGGAAAAATCATTAAGTTACTTACCTGCTGCAGTGCAGTAAATTACTTTGTGTGGCTTTTCTACCCGTAAGTCTTTGTAAACTCCAAGGTGGGATTTGCTATGAGCAACTGAGGAGCTCCTGATTGCTGAAAGTGTCCACCTGGAGTATTTCTGTTGGGAGTGGCACAAAACAATGTTCTGGGAGGTGCCCACTCTCTCTCAGGTGCTTAGAGTTCTGATGCTATAATTGGCTAGTTTGACCACCCTGCGGGCTCTAAAGGAGATCTCCTGGAGGCAGAACTCTCTCTGACTGCTGGTTGAGGAAGATGTGCTGCTGAAAGAGACATGGGCTCCTGAGACACGCGTTGCTGGGAAAGAGATGCAAGAGACACGCATTGCTGAGTGAGACACCGAGGGACCAGCACCGCTGGGAAAGAGACTGTGAGAGACTCTTGGCTGAGGGACGGTGGGCTGGGAGAGAGACTGAGCATTCTTCCTGAACTTGAGTTGTAGCCTGGTGCTTCCCTAATAAACCCTGTAATCTGTGAGTTCTGTGTGGCCACTGCAGTGAATTATCGAACCCAGGAGAGAGGTGGTGGGTGCTTTGGGAGGAATGGTTGGTGAAAGGGCTGGAGGGAGGCAGCATGTCTGGCCTTGCAGTAATAGGCCTTGGGTTACTGCTGGTAATGCTGTCTTCCTCCTATGAGATTAGAGGAGGTCAGAACATGTGGCCTCCTCGCCGTTTTTGCACCTGCGCGAAACAAAACACAGGCACTTTTATCCTTCACTCATGCATTTATTCACTCAATATATACTCTAAGGGAGTCCATCATCAAACAGGGGAGATGAGACAAATTATCCACAATACAAACATGTGAAGTGTTATAATAGATTCTATATAGCTACAGGAATTCAAGTATTGAGGTCTGTTCCAGAATTCAAGATCACAAAATACATAAAGCTCCATGAAACACATGATGCAGAACATTTCTAAAATGTCAAGAGAAAATTGGGATGGTAGATAGAACTCAAATTTTTATGAAGATAATATAAAAAATAGGTATTCATATGAAAACATGTAGTACTAAAAGAGAAAACAAGAGTTCTAAGCCCTAAAAATATAAAAGCAACCTTTTCAAATAAGCCAAGAAATCCAAGAAAATTAGCTAAGAGAAACCCAAAACTTCATGAAAGAAAAAGAAATGCAGAAAATGGTAATATCTGCTAACAAGATGGTAAAAAATCACATAAAAAATTTAAAAGACAAAAATTAGATGGCTTCCAAAATTCCTCCAAATATTATTTATATATGATCCAAATGCAAATGTCAAACAAAAAGAAGAAAAAGGACAAAATGATTAAGTGACAAGTAAACAACAGATCATAAGGGAAAAAAACAGAGATAAAACATTAGCAGTCCTAAAACACTACAAACCACATGTAATCTGAACAGAATACAAGTAATAACAAAAAACAACAGGCTTATATGTAAAGATAGACTATATACTAAAGAAAGCTAAGACATGAAATGGTCTAACATGTAAAAGTTGTAGACCGTTAACTATGGCCTTACCTTTCCAAGAAGTCTGACGAACAAAGGCCATAACTTCAATACGTAAGTCTCATTTTTACTCATAAATAGCTTTTGGAGTTCTGAGATTAATTTCTGCAAATAAGCAAAAATATTTACCAAAAAGACTCTTGAAAAAGCAAATAAAAATAACATCCAGTATCAAAGTTTAGAAGTAATTTTCAAAGACTGATTCCCTCAGAAGAGTTCTCCCAATATTCTATTAGGAAAACTTCCAAGCATGTAGCAAAACCAAGTAATTTTATAGTAAGTACTCAAATACAAACATGTAGAGTCTACCATTAATGTTTTACTGTATCTGTTTTATTACTTAGCTACCTAGCTTTCCATGACCTATAAATATAACCGACTGGAGATAGGTGTTTTCTTTTATTATGTTAATGAGGCCATACCAGAATAGGGTAGAACCTAAACCTAATCATCTCATTATAGAGAACAGACACACAGATATACACGGGGACACCAAGAAACAAGAAGAATGGTGAAGAACAAGGATAAGGATGGCTGGCAGACACCAAAAATTAGGAGAGGCTTTTTACAAGGCGTCTATTTGTCTGAGACCCCATTTTGGACTTTTAGCCTCCAAAACTGTACAGAAATAAACTTCTCTTCTTTAAAGTAATCCACCTGCGGTTTTTGTTATGGCCAGAGGTAGAAAACAGGTAATAATGAAATTACTTTAAATATCATGTTCTAAACATTACCATGTAGCCTTCTGAGATAATTTAAAAAACGAGAACAAAGCCCTAGGTTTCAGAATCAGAAGGGCTCCCCCATTGCCTGGATTATCTCCTAACCAGTCTCCATGTTCCTGCACTAGCCCCCCTAATCTGTTTTCAACACAGTCAAATTGTTCCTTTTAGAACCAGTCAGCTCTTATTACTCATAGGCTAAAAACCTTCAAATACGGCTTTCCATATAACCCAGAGAAAAATAAATTTCTTATAATGGTCCCATCCCCAAGATCCTATGTGATTTGGCCTTCTGTTCCTGACATCATCATGTTCTTCTCCTCCTCGTTCACTTCATTCTGATCATACTGCCCTCAGTGTTCCCTAAACACCAAAAAGGCATACCTTTCAAGCCGCCCCCTGACTTAAATGTGCTTTCCCCACATTAATCAAATGACCAACTCGTGGACCATCTTCAAGTCACTGTTACAATGTCTTATTCTTTTTGAGACCTTCCCTGACCATCACACTTCTTCTTCACCAATGGCATTCTCTATTCACTCTGCTGTTATCTACAGTGCTTTGCACTTAATACACTATGTAATTTTTTTATTTCTCATCGGGAAATAAGCTGAAAAAGACCCTTGTGTTCACTGCTATATTCATAGTGTTATATGCTAGAGCAATGCCTGGCATACAGTAAAATCAAACCCACTGCCACCAAGTCAATTTCAACTCATAGTGAACTGACAGGAAAGTGTAGAAGTACCCCATCCGGTTTCCAAGGAAGCACACTGTCTCAGCTTTTTCCTGCAGAGTGTGGTTAGTGTGTTTGAACCACTGACTTTTGGTTAGCAGCCCAATGCTTTAACCAAAGCACCACCAGAACTTCTCAATGCAATACATTTCTGACATACAGTAGGTGCTCAATCAATATTTGGATTATTTAAGAACAGAGGCTGGAAACCCTAAAACCTACAGCACTAACAACTTTAGGAAATAACACAAACTAAATATACCTATGTGCATTAAATTTTTATCTACTGGGCTATGCTAAAAGAACTTATTTGACACTGAATCATTAATGTGCTCCCTCTTCCAGAAATGTAGTCCCTTCCTACTCACCATTTACTAGGGAGGAGATAAAATGCCTACATCGTAGCAACCGATAGTCAGCTCCCTTCCTCACTGTAGTGTAGGAACAATGTTAACTGCAATTAATTCATTTTAATTCACAAAACTGAGTTTCCTAGATAATAGGAATTATCAAATTATATCAATAAGAACCTAGTTTAAATTCTAAGATGAGTGCAGAATCATAAGATGAAATGTCCAAAAAATCTTTAAATACTTACAGTAGTCATAAGCTGCTCTGTAATAGATGCTATTTCATGTTGTTTCTGCAACAACAGTGGCATTCCCATCTCAAGTGCAGTTGCACCCCGCAGATGTACCTTTTGTGCTGAATGAACCACTAAAGGGATGACCAGTTTTGCCCACCTCACTGACTCTTCTCCCATCTGAACTGGGGCCTGTTCAATTAACCTACAACAGAGAAATCAATGAATAGTATGACTTTACTTTTAAGGGTAATATACCAGGAAAGTAAGTCTTGTTAAGAAATGTGAGCAACATGACTCTTTTATGTTTTAGGATATATATACACACAAATATGTACATGTACAGTCATCAGTCTGGTAACAAGCATTATTTAAGGGGCCAGGATTCAAGAATTTTTATTTGCTATTTTGTGTATTTCTGTATTATTTCTATATATTTTTAAAACATAGAGAGCACATGTTGTCTCTAGGAAGAAAATTTTAAAATACCAATTATCATCACACAATTCAAGTCAACTTTTTTTTAGAAGGCGAGAATAGCCAGAGAACCATGACAGAATCTGAGTGTCAATCAGGGCATCAGAACACTAAAAGCAAACAGCTCAACAGGTGAACAAAACTTTACTAAAGAGTGAAAAACACAGAAATCATGCTGTGAAAAGTTTGTTGCTAGTATGTTCAATAAAAATCAGGGAAAGATAGAGAAGGCAGAGAATTTTTCTGTTCTTCCATCTGCGGCTAGGCTGTTACTGCCTTCCTAGATACGTTCTATAGCCTACTTATGAGTTTGTTATTGTTAAACCCCTGCAAAAGCTTTAGCAAAGGTAATTCTTTAAAAGCAGAATAGTGGTATTACCACCAGAATTACCAAGATTTCACTTAAGAGACTGCCTCAGCCAAAACAAAATCATAAACCTAGTAACTCAGGCACATCTACTTTCTTCTTTCTGTTACCTATTTTTTCTTCAGAATCTTGGTCTAGAAAACATTCCTTTCTTTCAACGTCTAACTCATATTCAAGTCCTAAAAGTTCATTCCTGGAAGTAAATTTCAAATTTACTGAAACTATTCTTCCAATTTGCATAGCATCCTAAAGCATACCTTATGATGACATTTAATGCTTCATAATCAACAATGGCAGAATGCATATCTCCTTTATTAAACACTATTTCTAATGTTTCAATTATACTGGATACCTAGAAAACAGAACCACATGAAAACCAATCAAATAAACTTTTTTTTTTTTGGCATATAGATGAACAAAATACATACAAAAACTATACTTACTACTTTGGCAACCACAGCAGTGGGAAATGTCTGCTTGGATATCACCCAAAGTGCCCTAGTACGTACATTTTTGTCTGAAGTCTTAACAATATCATTCAATTTTGAAAGTAGTTCTTGAATGTTTGCTTCTAAAAAACAAGAAGTTTAATTTTAATTATGCAGAATAATTTATATCCTTTAAAATCTCTTAAGAATCAAGGAAAATAACATAATCTTTACTTCCAAAATATTAAAATGCATATGCACTGAGAAGGATCATAGAACCACTGCTATTATATCTTCTTCCCAAAATACAAAATTCAGATCACATGGGAAGGTACACTGAAAGAAAAATGGTGAGACTCCAAATCATATATTCTGAAATTAAAGTAATTTTATAAGCAGTTTTGTATATATAATTTTTTGCAAAATGTAGTAAGTCCGAGAACTCTGCTCCAAAGTGAACAATTCCTGCTTTAAGTTATAACATTTTATAAATGAAAAAAAAGAACAAGCAGCAACTTTACCTTAAAAAGTAAATGGTAATAGCTTTCTGGCATCATTATTACTTAAAGTAATTTCCCCTCTCTAGGAATCATCTCCTAGCTTCCCTTTACAATGGAAAACTACTAACTACTAAGCAACAGACTACCTGAAAACTTGATAGCTCCAAATTATCCCACATTCACAACTATGTACAACAACTTTTTAATTCAACATGTACCTTAGTACATTTGTCTCAATAAAATTAGAAGTGACAACCTAAATTATTACTATTTCCAAAGCAAGAGATGTATTTTTATAAAAGGTTCAGTTTTTATAGCAATCCCTTTCAAATAATTCTAGGAAGAGTGAATGTTACCAAAGTTAGACCTATGTCTAGGAAAAAGCAGTCTTCCAACAATGACAATCTTAACATTTTTCAAATCTTAAACTACAAATTATGAAACTAATCCACTAGAAACAGTTCTTTTAATAGTATCAAATGATTTATACTTATATACTCTACAAATATTAATAGTCATAATAAATTTAACTACCTGATAATCCTGAGGAAATTTTGGGATTATATAAGCAAAACCCCAAGGCCTGTAGAGCAGCACTACTTAGCTCTGGGTTTTGACTGGAAATGTGAGTCTACAAAAACAAAATCACATTTGTTTGCATTGTTTACCACAGACAAACAAGTGCAAATGCAAATCAATTTTTCGAGAGCAAAACTTGAATAAAAAACAAGTAAAATAATTTTTTTAATCCCATCAATCACAAACCTTTGAGAATAGGTTTTTTTTTTTTTTAAAAAAAAGAAGAGTAACTAAGAGATAATACATAAAGCTTCAAAATGAATGGAAGAGGAAAATTACACAAAAGTTGACAGAATAAAGTACATTTTCTTAAAAGATAAAGGACAGCTCTAGCTATCTAAAAGCAAAGAAGGAGCAGCTAAAAAATGGATAGGAAATAAAAATAAAAAAACAAGAGCAAGGCCTATCCACAAATGGTAAGTAAAAAAAACTCAAAAGGCAAAGCTGACATCCTAGCTTTAGAGTGGAATGACACCTCTTTTTCTCAGAGGTTGGGATAGGGAAGTGGTTCGAATATAACATTTAAAAGTGAGTGTAAGATTTAAACATGATCTTAAGTAATCTTTTTAAAAGATATTCATTCTATAGAGAATTTTAATCCTTGTCCATCTGAAACCCAAAGCCCAAACTATACTGATATATACAAAAGCTGAACAGTCCAAACCTGTCAAAGATATTCTCACTATATCCCTTAATCACAAACTGATTTGTAACCCTGAACCTTTCCTCCTAACATTTCTTCTCTCAAAGTGTTTTATCTTCAAAACTCTGCATTTCTCAGAACTAAGTAACGAAGGAGTCCTTGGCTATTTGTTATTCTCAAGCAACAAGAACAAATGTTTATAGTCAAATACCTGGACACTTCACCAGAGCATCCCTTTTATAGTGAATTTTTAAAAACCATCTGGGATATAAGGGCTATTAAAACCACCAGTTCAGATAACCAGACTAAAGTAGAAGATTCTCAGAACTATCATCACCTTCTGGATAATAACTAATACCTGTCTGCGATCAGATGTTATTAAACATGTATTAATTGAAAGAGTACCTTCAACAGTAGTATGTTTTATCTTTAAGAATGTTGTGGGTTTCTAGAGACAGGATTCTAAACAGTTACATAGCCAAAACCAAACCAAACGCACTACAACTGAGTCAATTCAGACTCACAGTGATCTGAACAGGACAGAGTAAAACCGTACTGTAGAAAGCTATAAATCTTTATGGAAACAAGACTGCCTCATCTTTCTCCAGCAGAGCAACTGGTGAGTTTGAACAGCTGACCTTTTGGTTAGTGGAATGCTTTAACCACTCACCACCAGAGCTCCTAAAAGTAACACAGAAATATGTTGTTTAAACCTGGTGTAGCCCTGTTTTGAAATTCAATTATCCTTTCATTGTTTAATAATTCACAAAGAAACCTGGTTTTCCTTTCATCAACCTTTCACATTATTCACCGAGAATTACTCACAAACCCTATTTACAAAATGTATGCTATAAAATTCCTGGGAGCTCTGGTGGCATAGTGCCTAAGGCATTTGACTGCTAACCAGAAGGCTGGAGGTTCAAACCCACCAGCCACTCTTGGAAGGAAGATGGGGCAATCTACTTCCATAGTGATACTGCCTTGGAAACCCAAGGAGGGGTCACTATGAGTCGGATCCGACTTGACAGCAATGGATTATAAAATTCCTACATGTTCTTAAATACAAATACAAAAAAATGCACATCTTCATCACATCAAATATACTGATGGAATCTGAAACGTGATAATGAAGTCTCTACCACACAATAAGGTTCCTGCTTACATGAACAAAAAGCATTGATGACTGATAGGAATAGTAAAGCATAAACAGTATCTCAAATGCCTCAACCTGAAAGCATGCTGAAACATACAATGAATACTTTGGTGGAATACTTATATTTCAAATCACAGCAAAGTTTATAAAATAGGCACTCAAAGACCAGAGATTTAGTTCAACCTCTTTATTCTAAAAATAGAGAAATTCAAAAGTTATGTGCTAAGAAAGGTCACAAAGAGTAATCGAGTAGAGACAAGAACACAGGTCTTCAGTCTGCTGTTAAACTACACCAACCAAAAAAAAGATAACCGTAAGTTTTTTTTTTTTTTTTTTAAACTAAGAGTAGCAAAAATTAAGGGTGAGAGAAGATAAAAAGTGTATGTAACACCCACAAGGTAGACCAAAGGAGATTAAAATTTTACAATCATATACTTAGAAATACATTCCTACAAAAGGAAAAAACAAAAAACAAAATCCACTGCCAGCAAGTTGATTCTGATTCATAGTGACCCTATAGAAAAGTAGAACTGCCTCATAGGGTCTCCAAGACTGTTAAGTCTTTACAGAAGCAGACTGCCTCAAACTGCCATCCTTTGGATTAGCAACTGAACGTCTTAACCACTGAGCCACCAGAGAGTCAACAGATTAATTTCTGACCGCTTTTGTGTAATTCAAATGGCTACAGGGAACATTAACCAAACCAAACTCACTGCCATTGAGTCAATTCCAATTTATAGTGACTACAATTGGTTTCCAAGGCTGTAAATCTTTACAGAAGGAGATGGCCTCATCTTTCTTCCACAGAGCAGCTGGTGGGTTTGAACCACGAACCTGATGGGGAACCTTAGGTAAATTAAACCAATTGCTTCATATGCAAACCAGGGATTACAGTAACCTCACAGAGATATAAGGATCTATGACACTGTAATGGGCAAGGCGTTTGGCTGCTAGTCAAGAGGTTTGATCCCACCAGATGCTACACAGAAGCGGTCTGGTTCCCTTAAAAATTTGCAGCCTTGGAAATCTGATGGGAGTCACTATAAGTTGGAATCAACTCAATGGCAGGGAATTTGGTGTGGTTTTAAAGAAATATGGACAAGATGTATGTAAGATAAATTATAGCATTTGACACAATAAATGGTTTTATAATAATCCAATCAATATTGTTGATGCCATTTTATTTCAGATTCAAAGATGTTACAGAATCAGGTGATTAAAAAACACCAAAACCAGCAATTATTTAATAACTAACAAAAACACATACCTTAAAAACTTTGTATAATCGAGAAAGCTTTTTCTCAACTTCTATAATGACTTCTTTTCCTTCTTCTCCACTCATCCGACTTAAAAACCAAAGAACACAAGTTTATGCATAAGTAGACAAAAAAGTTACAATCACTACTTAAAATGCTTACATTTTAAAACTTTTGCAAATATATTACCTATTAAGATACTTAAGGTTATATAGACTATATAATACAACATGTACATCTTGTATAAATGCAAAAAAAACCCCCAGAAACAATATCCTCAAAGTAACTTTTTGCACCCAGTGTACACAAATAAGCTTTGACAGTTTCAGTTTTAAGACTGAACAGGGATACCTATACCTAATTACAAATCACTGAAAATTTACTAAACCTTATAGCTTTATGCCACTTGTTACCCCTTTCCCACAGTTCTAAATAACTAGATTTCCAAAAAATATGATATGCAGGAAAAAAGACCGAAACATTTTTCAATTAAGATAAAAATCGGGTTATTGCTCTACATTAAAAAGCCATTTTGCAGTAACCCCATTTTCTCCAATACACGGCACATTTACACTGAAAACCACTCCTCCTGCATGCCCCACTTCAACATAAAACTTTAAAAATCCCTTTCTTGCAGAACATGCGTGCAGGCTCCCTCATTCCAAACATACATGTATCTTAACTACTACAGTAGCAACACCAAGGAATGTCACTAACCACGCACCCTTCCCCCACCCCCACTTGCGACCCCACAGCTACCAGACTTCTAGAGTAGTCCTCACAGCTACCAAACTTCTAGAATACACAAACTCATTCTACGCGTCCCTCCCCAAGCACCGGCCCCCCGAAAACACACACACCAGCGGGCCTTACCTGGCCAGAGTCAGGTAAGCGTCAGTCTGCTCTCCATGGGAGGTGGAAGGGTCTTCCAAAATCTCCAACAGCGGTGCTAGGGGGCTCTGACCTGGGGCCGTCATGTCGGCCACACTGAGACGCGGACCGGAAGAGAAAAACCAGTGACCGATGGAACAGCCCCGCGACGGCCCAGCGCGAGTCCAGCCCCCAGATCTGCGTGCTTGCCCCGACCTCATAGCCCCGACGTATGTACACCCTTGATTCTTGACGCACAACCCCAAGACCCTAACCTCCTTCGCCCCGCCGCATGCATCCGGGCCCACGCAGCGTTCTGGGCCGCTCCCGCCACCACTTTCCCGGGCAGCTTTCAACAGGGGGAGGAGACCGGCGGGGGGGCGGGAGATGCACGAGGAAAGATGCGTCTTGCCGCGAGGGGGCGGAGGCTGCACCAGACTGACGACTCCCAGCGGCCTAGCACCGGAACCCCGACACTTACCCCCACGTATGAAGATAGGACTGCGTTATCTCTGCCACTACCCCGTGGTACCCAGACGTAACCAGATCTCGACTTTTCTTTCTAGTGCTGTTTACTCACGCGTGCGGCCCACTCCTTCCAAGACCAAGATGGCGGTAGGGGCGGGCTCAGGAGCGCGCGGGAGTAGGGCAGGCCTGGCGGGAGAGGCTAGAGCCAATCCAACAGGCTGAGGCGTACCGGAGTCATCGATCACCTCCCTTCCCTGCCCTGCTGCGCCGCCCCGCCCCCCGAGCCGCCCAGCCCCTGGTGCAGTCCCCGAGGTGGTGTGTGTTTAGCTTCATGTTCGCCCAGGGAAATATTGAAAACAAACAATGGGACTGAATCGCCCAGATTTACTAGACTAAATTTAATAGTACTCATTCAAGTAATACTTGTAATACTAATAATAAGTATAATAATAAGTAATACTAATAGCAACACATCATTTATCAAACGGTTATACCATACTTCGTGTTTAAGAGTCCCTGGGTGTTGGAAAAGGAGTTCTGGTAGCACACTGCCAAACCAGAAGGTTGGTGGTTCAAACCCACCAGCCACTCCTGGGAAGGAAGATTGGGCAATCTACTTCTGTAAAGATTTACCGCCTCGGAAATCCAATGGGGGTAGCCATGAGTCTAAATCGACTGGATGGCAGTGGGTTTGTTTTTTTGTCTGTGTTTTGGGTACTGCAAGCACTTAAGCACTCTAATAGTAACCGAAAGAATGGCAGTTCCAACTTATCCCTAGAGGCTCTGTCTGAGATAGATCTAGCGATATGTTTGCCAAAGTTTACAATCTTCAAAACCCTATGGGGGAGGTTCAGCTGGACACATGTGGTCGCCCCGAGTTAGAATTAACTCCATGGCAACTAACAACACGTTTAAGACTGAGAACAGCACCTCAAGTAGGTCTAGCTTCCAACATTGGCTGTGTGACACTAGCAAGTTAATCTTTTTATTCCTCAATTTCCTCCTCTGTAAAATGGGGATAATATTAGTGCCTATTTCAGGCGGTAAAGTGGGGAATGATAAAGAGAGACTACTGGTATTCAAATTTTAAGTGCACATAACAATGACCTTGGAATATCTTTTATCAAACTGCAGATTGCTGGCCCTGCCCTTAGACATTGTGATTCACTTGACTTAAGATGCTCTCAGGGCTCTGCATTTTTCTATGTTGGCCCACTTCCAGGCCCTGACTTCAGTCCCCACTTGCCCACACAGGGAACTACCAGCTCTAGAGACCAGGTGTGCTTTTTGTTCTCTGTGGTCTACATCTAGCAAAAGTGTCTGCCAAACCAAGCACTCAATACATGATGTTTCTTAAATGAATAAATGAAGATCTTGAAGGAGGAAGTCATACAAGGTCTTTCAAGCCAGACTATAAAAATTAAAGACTAAAGAATGGTTAGGAGTTGTGTACAGGTGAAATAAGACCATCTGGAAATAATAGTAGAGAAACCTTTTCAGTGTATCCTGATAATATGTTTTTTAACCTTCAGAGGGGAATGTGCTCCTGATTTTCTGGCCAATGGGAAGGCAATAAAGATATTTGACAAAAGAAGTTAGTAGACAGTGAATAAAATGTAGGGACAAATTTGCAACATTTGGATTTTACTATATTGTGTTGAAAAGTGAGAGAGGGTATTGAAACACCATTACTTTCTATAATGGCTGTGAGAGTTAGTAGAAAAAACATTGAATTTGCCTTAAAACAGTTACCCCCACACAATCATTTTGTTCCTTACCTTACTTTATTCTTTCTTCAACCATTATCACTACATGATATTATGTCTATTTTTATTGTCTGCCTCATCCCACTAGAAAGTAAATTTCATGAAGGTAGGAACTTTGTCTTAGTGCTTTCATAAGTTCTCAATTACAAAGAAGAGTTTACACTGGTAATGCTTTGTTCATCTCTTTCTAATGTGTAGTTCTATTATCTTTCTAAAATGTTACATAATATCATTGTCATTTGCATTCCAAAAATCCTTCAGTGGTTCCCATCAAATACAGGATGAATTTCAAAGCTCTTGGCCTGAGACACAAGCCTGTTATGATTGGGACACTGCTCACCTTTCACCTCCAGCCTGACTCCACTTCAGCCAGGTCCAGAACAATCAACCAAGCTCTTACTCTTTTGTCTTTGAAGGTCTATATTATTCATTGTGTTTGGTATGTTAATTCCCTTGTTCAAGAGTTGTGAATAAGACACAACTACAATTACACCTTTTTGTGAAATCCGTCCCTGATCTACTCTCCTATACACTCCTCCCCTCCCTGGGAGAATTGAAAGGTGATCCCACAGAATGTGGAAATTTTCGAACAATATCACTAATATCACATGCAAGCAAAATCTTAATGAAGATAATCCAAAACGGTTGCAGCAGTTTATTGATGGAGAGCTTCCAGAAATGCAAGCTGGATTCAGAAGAGGATGTGGAATGAGACGTATCATTGCTGATGTCAGATGGGTCTTAGCTGAAAGCAAAGAATACCAAAAAGATGTTTATTTATGTTTTATTGACTATGCAAAAGCATTTGATTGTGTGGATCATAACAAATTGTGGATAACATTGAGAAGAATGGGAATTCCAGAATACTTGATTGTACTCAAGAGGAACCTGTACATAGATCAGGAGGCTGTCATTCGAAAAGAACACAGGGATAGATACTGCATGATTCAAAATCAAGATGGGTTGTGTCCTTGGACCATAAATATTCAATCTGTATGCTGAGCAAATAATCCAAGAAACTGGACTATATGAAAAATAATGTGGCATCAGGATTGTAGGAAGACTCATTAACAACATATGCAGATGACACAACTTTGCTTGCTGAAAGTGAGGATGTCTTGAAGCATTTACCGATGAAGATCAAAGACTACAGTCTGCAGTATGGATTACATCTCAATATAAAGAAAACAAAAATCCTCACAACTGGTCCAATAAACACCTTCATGGTGGATGGAGAAAAGATTGAAATTGTCAAGGATTTCATGTCACTTGGTTCTACAATCAACATCAATGGAAGCAGCAGTCAGGACATTAGATGACGTATTCATTGGGCAAATCTGCTGCAAAAGACCTCTTGAAAGTGATGAAGAGCAAAGATGTCTCCTTGAAGATTAAGATGCATCTAACCCAAAACATGGTATTTTCAATCGCTTCTTATGCATGTGAGAGCTGGACAATGAATAAGGAATACCAAAGAAGAGTTGATGGTTTTGAGTTGTGGGGTTGGAGAAGAATGCTAAGAGTACTAGCATTTAGAATAGAGCACTAGCATTTAGCATAGAGAAGTCTGCTAAAAGAACCAACAAATCTGTTCTGGAAGAAGGGCAGCCTCAATGCGCCTTGGAAGCGAGAATGACCAGACTTCATCTCACCTACTTTGGTCATGTTGTCAGAAGGGACCATTCCCTGGAGAAGGATATCATGCTTGGTAAAGTGGAGGGTCAACGAAGAAGGGGAAGACACAGTGGCTACAACCATGGGCTCAGGTTACAAGACCAGGCAGTGTTTCTTTCTGATGTGTATAGGGTCGCTATGAGTCAGAGACAATTCAACAGCACCTAGCAACAACAACGACAAACCCACTGCCATTGAGTTGATTCTGACTCATAGCGACCTCTATTGGGTTTTTAAGCTGTAAATCTTTCCGGAAGCAGATGCCTCATCTTCATCCCACAGAGCAGATGGTGAGTTTATACCTTTGGCTATACCACCAGAGGGAGCTCTGGTAGCATAGTGCCTGAGGCACTTGACTGCTAACTAGAAGGCTGGTGGTTTAAACCCACCAGCCACTCCTCAGAAGTTGGGCAATCTATATCCGTAGTGATACTGCCTCAGAAGCCCAAGGAGGGGTCGCTATGAGTCAGGTCCTACTCGATGGCACATAACAACAACAACACATCACCTAGTAGGAGTAGAGCTCCTACTGTTTGTATGCATATCTGTTAAAATAAGTATCTCATTAACTTATTATTGTTTGGTTATGTATGCTTCTTGTTGTTAGCTGCTGTGGAGTTGTTTCTGACTCGTGGAGACCTCATGTGCCCAGTAGAACTGCTTCACAGGGTTTATAAGGTTGTTACCTTCCAAATGTATTAAATATTTGATTGAGCAGATTGCTAGGCCTGTTTCCCAAGGAGTCTCTGGGTAGGTTGGAACCACCAACCTCTTGCTGATTGTAAAGCATTTAACAGTTTGCAATAATAACCAGGGCCTCGTTATATATCTGGGAGCTCTGGTAGCGTAGTGCCTAAGGCACTTGACTGCTAACCAGAAGCCTGGCGGTTCAAACCCACCAGCCATTCCTCATAAGGAAGATGGGGCAATCTACTTCCGTAGTGATACTGCCTCGGAAACCCAAGGAGGGGTCGCTATGTGTCGGTCCGACTTGACGGCAATAACAACAACCACAACAACAACATTATATATCTATAGGGACAAAGTTGAAGGCTAGCCTGGGAGCAATTAGTTCCAACCATAATCTCCGTGCCCACCCTGTTCTTTGATATTTTACAATAGACGTTCTCAATCTTATCAAAAGTACTGAAGAGATGAGTACTGAGCATCCGAGACTAATCCCTTTCCCCTCACACCTCTATCCACACATCTTTCAACGAAATTGTTAGCCTCAAGCTTCCCTTTCATAGAAATTTTGGATCCAACACCATGGAACTGCTCTCACTGGCCAGTGAATTCATAGTATCTGGCACCCAATAAATATATTTTGAGTTAATTTGTTTATGTATAATTGACTCATCCCTTCAGCCATTCATTCAACCAATACACAATTTTTTATTTATTATTTTCTTTCCTTTCCAAATCAGTGGTGTCACTAAGGGGGATGCAGGTGAAGGAGTGTTGACCACATTGAGTGACACTTGTCAAAAGGGGTGACACTAAAATGTCTATAAAATTTTTGTGCAGTGTTTAAGCAGAAATTTATTACTTTTTAATAAAATTATCCCAGTAATTAGTTATAACAACAAACACATTTTTCTTATGGCCAGCTTGCATGTATCAACATACCCACAAGGGGTCTTAAAAACTTTCAAGCAGCCATGTAACATGCAACTATTGATCTCCTCTCATGT